TAACCCCGCTGCACCTATTGGGGCTTTGTCTTGGCTTACTGGCACCCAATGCTGAAAAGAACAGTTCTGTGTTCTCAATCTCTCTCTCTCTCAAAAGAAATTTGTTACCCAGCAACAGGGAGGCTCATCTCTCTGGCAAAATCCCACGATCATTCCTATAGGGCAATTTGCATGTGAAAAGTGAGCTTCCCACCCCTCCATTGCTGGCATATGAATGGCTTTGAATCCATGGGGGGGGGGGTGCTTTAAAAAAATCAGTGCCTGGGAACTGGCCCACTGTGAGCCTGAGCTAGCCCATTCTTATTGGCTTTTATGAACCAGCAACACTCCTGCCATATGGTGACACAGGAACCGCACCAAGGGATACAATTAAGTGTTTGTGGGTTTTTCCTTTATGCCAGTGCTTCAAAGAGGTGTGTAATGGTTTCCCCTCTCTTGTGGTTACACACACAGACCTTGTATCCAAGTGGCCCTAAGCCAGGAGCATTAAGTTATCTGCACCCTTCCTTTCCTGCTGGAAGCCACTGACTAAAAACAGAGGCAGGTGGCTATGGCAGAAGCAGAGTGCACTATGTGAAAGTGTCACAGCGCTTAGTAAGCATAATCCTATACATATCTGCCCGATTGTTAAATCTCATTAAAACCAATGGGGTTTATTCCCAGGTAAGCAGCGATAGGATTGCAGCCCCTGAAAGGTACCCAATGACAGTTTCTTATGGTATGTGCTATACTGTGGTACAGGCACCTGAGTACAAACACACCCATATATGACATCAAGATAAATGGAATGTCTCCATAGATCAGCACTTTACATCATAAAATACATGAGTTGCACATGAGAAAAGACTAGGATCCCTCTTCAATTAATATTAGAGGGAGAGCTGACAATCTACCCATGCTGCACACTTCATGTTTTCCATAGATTTTGCCAAATGCCTTGAAATAAATTAGCACCTCTTTTGAAAACAACAACAGCACAGTGCTAGAAGGAATGTGAAAAAATCAGTTTGAATTCAAAATCAATGCTTTTAAAATGCTTTGAAGAGTTCCTCCAATTAAGACATCAGTTCTGCTATGAGTACAACTTGAAATTTAAAACAAATCAGAGCAGAACCACTAGTTATGGAAACAAGGTTTTCACCCATTTTACACCATTTTTCTGGACTCACTACTGCTGAACAAGGAACTTTTATCAATGTATTTTATTTTGGCTTGAAATGTTTTAACATAACAATTGACCTGATTTGTAACCTGCTTTATGGACAAACTAATACAACAATTAGCTGTAAGCTAGAACTGAATGCTTCTAATCTCCTTTCCTCACACACAAAAGGGGAGGAGGGAGCATGTAGGACCAAGTCTCACTAATGTTCACATCCAGTTCTCCTTGGAGGAGAATGTGACCTCTGTCTGCATTCTTTAGTTGCACAAATGCTATATATTCTTGCCATATTGGCATTCTCACAAATGTGATCAAACCTCCAGGAGCAATAATATGACATACCCCATGCTACTGTGTAATTCTGATGTACACCAAATCAAGAGACAATATGTTGTACCCAGTGGAGTTTGATGCTGGAATGGTAACTGCAAAGGCAAGGGACTCTGCCTTCCACACCTTGCAATTGTCACTGCCCTGTCCCCACAACTATTCTAGAAGATTGGGAGATCCTCTGGAGAATACTTGGGGACATATAGAGGAGGGCTCTGGGAAGACCACTTGTATGATGCGACACATAGTCCATGTAATGGTCCTAAGGAGTCTTATGTTAATATTCTAGAATAAATCCACCTTCTGGTTCCTGATCAGTGGTGCTCAGAGTAGATTCATTTTGGATATCAGTGAATGCCAGTAGCCCACATATAATCAAATGTGGCTCCACTACAAGACTATCAAGGCAGTGTCATCACATGCATCTAGGTATCTTATGTCAAAGAAGTTGAAGTGCTAAAAGCAAAATTTCATCATCATCATCATCATCATGACTGAGGAAAGAACTGTATATCATTCCTTTGTGTGGACTCTGCCACTAGTATTGGCCTGAGCATCTCTGGGGGAAAGGTGGGATACAGACAATGATAAAAATGATTATGATAAGGATGACAATCACACTGGAGCAGCGAAGACAACTATGCAGTGGAGGCCTGAGGTCTGAGCAGGATGGCGTTGCCTGAAAAAAGGCAGGGTGTAGCACTTAGATCCTGAAGAGCTGATGTGTCTATTATTTCCATGTCTTGTTTGGGACCTTATAATACTACATCTGAGAAGAGGGTATGGGAAACTTTGCAGGCATCACCCTTACTAATTGTTTTCTGACATGATTTATCTGTTCTTGTTCACAGCTAGTTCCCACCATACAAGCATGGTACTTCCCTTCAGAAATGCTCACATACCTTCTGAATTTTTCAGATATTAAGTTCACATAGAATTTAGAAAAATTATTTTTGCAAATATAACTTTTAGAAACTCCAGACATCTTGACCTGTAAAATCCAAATAAAGAAACTTTCCAAGCTCATGAAAACAGGTAATTGTTTACAACCTAGAAATTACTTTTTGTTGTCATACATAGGCACATAGTTTCTTTCCGGCAGCACTCCAGTACAGAAATGCCTTAATTTATATTCTACTAGAATTTAGCTGCGAGATCCAGTTGCAAATTCAGGTTGGAGTAAAATTAGTATTTTTCTGTACCTGATACACCAAAGGGAAAACAGGTATTGTACAGAGACTGCACATAGACTGTTGGATAGATTACACTCACAGAAGTGCTAGCAGGTTGTGAAAGATGTCTAGCTGTTCATCTTCCCAGACTCATTCCTTCAGATAAAACGCCCACCCCATGTGCATTCCCATGTGACTGAAACAGAGAGCGCAAAAGCCTTGTGAGACTTCCTGACCCCAAATTTCATGAGACACTCCTTAGTCTCTGCTCTCAGGCCCCTCCACACCCCCATCGCCCCACCTCCAACCCATGAGACAAATCTCACTTCAATAGAATCTATTATGTCTCTTTTCTTCCCTCTCCTTTTCAATGGATGACTTGGTTCTGCCTGGGAAGCACAGCCCCACCGCAGCTAAAGGAGAGCACTGGCTGCTGGGTGCATGGAAGAATTAATGCTAAGTGACTGTGCCTTTGTGAGTCTAAGGACTCCGGGCTCATCAAGAATGCCTGGGAACAACTGCAGATTACAACAGGGTGCGAGCAAAAGAAATTTTAAAAAACACACGTCAAAACAAACATCAACTTTAAATCAGTGTTAACCAGACAGGCAGCCTCTATAATGCAAGTTTGGAAACAGGGGCCCCAACACTGTCTCTTTGTTAATTCCATGAAAGCCCTGTCAGTATTGCACAAAGACAAATGTGCAAGGGATGTTGCCATGTGTCAGGTGCAGCAGCTAAGGAGGGGAATGCAGGGGAAGGGAAGTGAATAGAGACTCAGCTGAGAGAAACACATGCCATTGGTCCATCACTCCCTTAGAGACAGCTCATTCTACTCTTGGAGGGTGTTGCAGTCCTACAGCTCCAGCCAGATGGTTAAGTGTAGGAATTTAAGGGCAGCAATGTGCTAAGAAGCATTCAGGAATGCTGCTCTGATCATTACAACCTGATGAGCAATCCATCTGTCTCTTTGACACCTGTCTTTTCCTACATCCATATTTCTTTGGTTTAGCGAAGGGGAGGGAAACCTGTCCCCTTCCGGGTGTTATTGAACTCTAACTCCCATTAGTCCTATCCAACATGGTAAATGTTCAGGGCTAGTGAGAACTATAGTGGTCTAAAATGTGTGAAGAGTTATGGTTTCCCTGTTGTGTGTGTTGGTTGCCTTCAAGTCTTTTCTGACTTATGGAGACCCTAAGGCGAAACTATCACAGGGTCTTCATAGAATTATAGAGTTGGAAGAGATCCCAAGGGCCATCCAGTCCAACCCCCTGCCATGCAGGAAAACAAAATCAAAACACCCCCGACAGATGGCCCTCCAGCCTCTGTTTAAAAATCTCCAAAGAAGGAGACACCACCACACTCCAACAGAGTGTGTTCCACTGACAAACAGCTCTTACTGTCAGGAAGTTCTTCCTAAT